ATCTATAAGGACACTAATTCCTTCATGGGGACCCCACCCTCTCCCCTCATCTAAACCTAATCAGCTCAAGTTCCATTTCCAATGCCATCACACCAGGGGTTAGGGATTCAATAAATGATCAGGGGAACACAATTCCATCTATAGCAGGCACATGTTGAACAACTGTAATTTTATAGAAATAGCTTGGAAAGCTGTCTTTACAAATTGACTTTGACTATATGTTCATGCAAAACACAGTTACTGACTGAAGATGATTGGTGTTTTTTTCCCTTTTGTTGATTTCTCAAAATAGATGTTGTTCATGTTGAGAACAGTGCCTGGCACATCATGGACCCTCAAGTAGCTGGTACAAAAATGATTTGAGGTAGACTCTAGTCCCCTCCTCCTTCAATATTCCCACTTCATTGGACTTTCCTTTTTATTTTCTGGAATTCCTTACACTCTTCTTTCCTCAGGGCCTTTCACATGCTCATCCCCCTGCTTGGAACATGCTGTATCCATGCAACAAATATTTATTGGGTACTAATTGTGTGTCAGCCATTTGCGTATATGCTGCAACACATAGTGAACAAAACAGACATTATTCCTGTTCTCAGGGGGCTCCCTCTGGTAAGAAATAAAGAATAAGGGGATAAGAAAGATAAGTGCATAAAATGTATGTTCTGCCACATGAAGAAAAGAGTTATAGAGAGAAATAAAGCCAGGAAAGGGGTTGGGGAGTGTGCGTGTGTGTGTGTGTGCATGTGTGTAATTGACATTGCAGATTAGACAGCTTCTGCTCCCACTCCAGGCTCTCCCAGAGCCCCTGGATGGAGGCAGGGCTCTCTGTTTTCTGTTCCATGGCCCCTTAACTTCCCTAGTCTTTACACTCATTCTAGCTGTAATTACTCTGCAAGACCCATCTTTACTGGTGGATGGAAGCTTCACAAACCCAGGAAGCATGTCTTCTTGTTTAACATCCTGTTTCTAGCACCGGACATTATGCCTTGTCCCTTCGTTTGACACCGTTCAAATGTTTCCTGGGAGACCATATGAGTGAAAAAGAGCATTGCTTACAAAATGCTTGGTGTTTTTTATTTGCTTTTTGCACACAGGGGTTGCATGTAGAATACACACACTGTACATTGTATTAGTCTTCATTGTTGTACATACAGTAGTAGGAACTTTCTGGAAAGCAAAATAGCAAATAAGTAGTGTTGTGGAGCAGGTCTTCCCAAACTTGAACGTGCATGTCTGTCACTCACAGATAATATTTTCTGAACATTGCTGCAACAGCACATCAACCTCACACTCTTCTTAGAATACAATGTTGACACAACTCCCATTGAGCATTGGCCTCTATTTTTCCTCCCATTGAGTCTAGGTAGGATCACGACTATAATGGAAGTGACACTGTGTGACAGTATGAGATGTTTGTTTTAGAATTTAGACACTATACTCTATCTTGATTCAGACTTAATCTTAGGATCTTTCTTGGAGCAACTGAAAAGAACTGCTTTTCCTCCTGGATTTGAAACTGGGAAGGTATAAAGCGGCTGAGGATACATGATGTATTGGAAGAAGCAGAGGTGGCACAAAGAGAGACCAAGTTCTGCTGATTAGGACCCTTGATCTAACCATCCCTGAATTCCTTTTAGAGTTTTCAGTTAGATGAGTCATGAAATCCCCATTTCCTTTTTCAAAGCTAGTTTGAGTTGGCTCTCTGTCATCTGTATCAGAAGAGTCATGATTAAGATAATGGATAATAATCTTTGTAGCACAGTGTCTATAAATCTTGTCTTTGAAACTCTTCAGCGCTGTGTGGAAACAAGGATATTGCTAATCCTACTTCCCTAAGAATATTCTCGGGGACCTCCTCCACCAAATGCTATTAATGAGCACATCCAACATACCAGCATGTCTGTACTCCAGGCAACCTAATAGATGCTTCCACCCTCTTCTTTCCATGACCCCTAATTTCCCAGGTGCCCTGGCTGGAGGTAATCACCCTACACCTGCTCCCCAGATCCCTAGCTGAAGACAGAGTTGGCCCAACCCAGGGGAACCCCTTGGAGCTTCTGAGTGACTCATTTTGAGCAGAGCCCCAGGTTTGCCTGGAGACTTCAGAGGATCTGTTGTGTGAGAAACTCTAGAATTCGCTTGAATAAATAAACTGGAATGCAGTGCCAATTTGGAGTGATTAAAGGATCCTGTGAAAGCTGAACCTCTAGAGAGACGTATAGGCTTCTATTGAATAATCCCTGAAATTCAAAGGGCAGAGGAGCAGCCTCTTTTGATCTGAGCACCTGTGCACACCCACTCTGCCCCCTTGGGTTCCTGGCAAGGACTAAGCTCCAAATATCATGGTGGCCACTCCTAAGCTCTTTCCTGTCATGCTGGAAGTGCCTTCCTACAAATTCCCCATGATATTTGGTTTGAGGCTTGGGCTGAAGGTTACTCTCGGTATGTTGAGACACGGCTCTCAGGTCTTAGCAGCTCATATGAGGAGACAAGGGAATGAAATTCTTCTTTTGAGGTCATTCATTAATCTTTCTTTTAGCAGGAAGTGGTGGTGTTGTGCTTGGGATCATGCTGTTCCCTCTGTCTGGAATGTTCTTCCCTATGTGCTTGTCTTCTTCTTTAAATCCCATTCTCCTTCTAGGGCTGTCAAAGGCCAAATTCTCAGGAAGCCCCATGCCTGGTCTCACTCCCTTCCCCAGGCCTGTTTAGTTCCTATAACCTTGGACCTTCCAAGCTCTATGCATGCTTTATTTAATTAATTTTGGATTCCTTGTTTGGCACAGTGCTCCTTGTCTTTGCTGGTGATGCTACACAGCACTCAGAAGGAACTATATCAACTCCCATTTCTTGGGGGACAGCCTCTAAAAACTGCACAAAGAAACACATTGAAATTCTATGGCTCCAACTACTGGGATGTCAGGATGTTGCCTTCCTCCCTTCCCACTGGGCAAAGCGGCCAAAAGCTCAGGACTGGAACTCTAGTCCTTCCCTAGCAGTGTGATCTTGAGTATGTAGTTTAATTTCTCTTCAGTTCACTTTCCTAATGATGCACTAGGGATAATGTTGGAACCCTACTGCTTAGTGTTTCCATGAAGATTAAATGATCCATGAACTTTCACATAAGAAAATCATAGTAATGCTTAGCCGTGGTTGCTAGTATAAATCAGTAAAAAGCTATTCAACTCAGTAAGAGGCATGGCAGAGTTTTAGGTTTCCTGCCCCTGTGCTTCATGTGAAGTTGACCTCCCGGCGACTTGAAGCTGCATCCAGACTTTGCTCCCACTCAATATATATTTATTCATTATCTTATTTTTTCACTCAACAGATATTCAGTGCCTGTCTACTCTCTGTGTACAATATTTAAGCTATTACGGCTCCCCCAGTCATGTTGTGGGAATCCGGATTAATGCTGGGAAAGTATTTTGTAGCTTTCACTGAATGATGGATTAGCATTCTGGACGGTTTATTTCTTTGCTAGAATTTACTTTGCCAGCTCCCAGCTCTGTGGTCAGGGACAAGAGATCTTTTGGTTCTCTAAAGGGGAATGCTAGGGGTGAAAATAATACTCCTGTTTCTGCTATTTTTGAAACAGAGGGACTGTAAAGACAGCTTAAGTGAGGAGTGTTTGGGTTCAAACAATACTTTCTGGCTGGTAAGGAGCGAAACCACAAGGATTAAGAGGTACATCGCAATTTAAAAAAAATAACAAAACCAGCAGCAAGCAAAGTATTTAACTATCTGTGTACTGGGCTGAAGTTCATTATTCGTGATTAGTTTTTGGCTTCCATTGGTACAGAGTGCATTAAACACATCTGGCATGTTAGAGGGTCTTGCAGATACTATACTAATAATGTAGAATCTGACTCTGCCTGACTGCAGGTGGAAGAGCATTGGTTAAATGCAAAACCTTGATTGGAAAATAGGATGCTGTGAACAGAACTCCCTTCCCCTTGGTTTTTTTGTTTGTTTGTTTGCTTTTCCAGTACCCAGAATCGAACTCACAACCTTGTGCTTGCCAGGCAGGCACAGTGCTGCTGAGCTAAATCCCTAGCCCTCCCTCCTCCTTGATTCCTCTTAGATTCTTAGAACCTCGCAGTCCCATGGATTCTGTCCAACTGATGAAGGGCAAGCATCATACAGAACTCAGGCAGGTGGTGTTTTAGCATTACAGAATGTCTACTCTGTTCAGAGTTTAAGGTCCATTGCTTATACTCTCTACTAGATCTGGGTTTGCTTATTATCTTGGAGAGGATAATTCTTTGTGTGAGACTTCTCATTTCACTGAATGAAAAGCCAGTAGCATGCCCCAGTTATCACAATGGAAAATGCCTCCAACCTTCTAGAAACCTCATTGCAGGACTGGATGACCCCTCCCTGGAGACCCTTAGTGAATACAGCAGTCTCTAACAGAGCTCCTTATTTGATGATGGTATGGAGTTGAGCACAGAACTTCCTAACAGGACTGGAAGCAAGGAACCCTGCATAGATCCCTGCCAGATTTTATCCTCTGTTATTTTTCCTGTGCTTGGAGTAAGGCTTCGGCCTTATCACTTTTTAATAGATATTTTCACTGGATTGATGGAAAATCCATATAGTATTTATAGCGTTAATTTCATAAAATGTAGTCAAACTGAACTGCAGGGTGTTTTGTAAGCAGGCATGCTATTTAACACAGTTAAAAGTAGTATTTGGAGAACTACTGACCAATCAGAACTTACAATGGAGATTCCAAATGCTCCCCCCACTGTCCAGCTGGAACAGAAAGCTTTAGTCATTGACTCATGGGGTAGACCAGAGACTCCAGGGATAAGCATGAGGTAGACCTGGAATGGTGAGAAACAGCAATTATCTGTCATCAGAAGTTTAACAGCAAGGAAAGCAGCAGTACAGCATGCTTCTGAGTATGAGAGTGACTATCATGCGGAATGTGGAACATAGAACCTTTTCAGGATACCCTGGTAAACTTTCTTTACAGAACATTCTCTTTTGCTTTCCAGCCTTTCTCCACTTACTTTTCCAGAAGTCTCTGGAAGCAACTAAAGTTTTCTGTTCCAGCTGGACAGTGGGGGGAGCATTTGGAATCTCCATTGTAAGTTCTGATTGGTCAGTAGTTGTCCAAATACTACATTTAACTGTGCTGAACAGCATACCTGCTTACAAAACACTCTGCAGTTCAGTTTGACTACTATGAAATTAGTGCTATAATTACTATATAGACTTTCCATCAGTCCAGTGAAAATATCTATTAAGAAGTGATAAGGGCTAAGTTTCCCCTTGCTCAGTCAAGGGCAGCCAGATTATTCAGGGAAAAAGTGAGAAAGAATTGAGGTTTATCTTGTATGTCATGAAAGTAACCTGCATATGCCTGTCTTCAAGACCTCAACCAAAAGGTTTCCTACCCTGTCAAAGCCTTCTAAATCCCTTTCTTCCTGCCCTTGAACTCTATCCACTGAATGAGTAATTCTTCTGTTGAGTGTCCTAGACTTCTAGTCTCTAGATCTTGGCTGAGAATTTGGTCCTATTGGAAAGAACAAGATAGGGTCCCATGCTTGGATTTCCGGTGATCAAGGGTCCTGGATTTTAGTCCTACCTCTTCTCTTACCAGCTGATCAATTTTAGGCAAAGTGAGGAAAAGCTCACACTGATGTTGGGTGCCTGTGGATAAATCATGTGACTTCTCAAAGCTGCGTCAGCTGTGAAATCAGGGGTTTGCCTCCACTCCTCTTGAGAGCGCTTCCTGCCTGGATCTCTTTGGTCCCATCTCTTGTTGTGGGTGGTGGGGGTGGAAAGCACACTCTTGTTTTGGTCCCATGCCTACTGCTTAATCAGCTCCTCCCTCCCTTATGTGGCTGGCACCTTATGTGCTTGGATTCCATGGGAATCCTGGGGTTGGCCCACTTTCCCTTGGCTTTGAGCAAAGGGTCTTCTTGGTGGTGGGGCCTCCATCCACAGACCTCATCTCAGGGGGTCTCCCACTTGGAATAACAGCAGTGTTTCTTCTTTTCCTCTTGACTTTTACCCTTGAACTTCTCTCATGGACTTTCTCTCATGCTCTTGCTCTCCCTCTCTTCTTCTCTCCTCTTCCCATCTCCATATCTTCTTCACACAAGCAGCTCTGGACCTCACCAGCTCACTAATTTCAACTCCTGGGACACCAGTGTAACTAAGGCCCCTGTCTCTGTAGTTAGACTGCTGCTGTCTTAATGTGCATTCTCAGGAAATGAACTTCTCTTTGCCTCAGGTTCCTCATGTACACCCATAAATCCCTAGGACTGTTCCTACAATTAAATGAAATGACACACGTGATGTACTTAGAGTAGTTTCTGCTCAATGGGAATTGCACAATGTTACTTATTTCTCTTGGCTCCTCTAGCAAGTTGACTTGACTCATTGACTACATATGAACATGATAAAATTAATTACTAAAATGCACTGGAAAACTTACCTATCTCTTCTTGAGCATTGTGAGCAATTTGTTTGCTTAGTTTTCTTTTAGATCCAGCTGCTGTTCCCATCCCTTCCCACAAACTTTAGCATTACTGAACTATTGGGAGTGATCAGACTCAGTGGAATCTCTTCTATTTTCTTGCCTTTGCATTTGGCTGGCATGGTTTTTTCTAGCCTACCTTCTTTGTCTTTGGTAGTGGTGTGGCAGGGGGAATCTTATTAAGAGATGCTTCAGGAATTAGCTCATATGCTGCCTTCTCCAAGAAGATTTCCCTGGTCATTGCCACACTTCAATGCAGAATTAAATCAATCTCTTTCTCAATCTCTCTGTCTCTGTCTCTGTCTCTCTCACTTGTGGGCCTATGATAACACAGAACATTATGGTGGGGACTTTGTGGTACAGCAAAACTGCTTACTTCATGATACATGGACTCAAAGAGAGAGAAGAAGAATCCAGGGACAAAATATACCCTTCAAGGGTATGCCTTCAATGACCCACTTCTTCCAATGAGGCTCCACCTCCCATGGTTGTTGTCACCTCCCCACAGCCCACTAAGTGGACTGATCCACTCTTAGGCCAGAGGCCTCAGGGTCCAGGCACCTCCCACTGCTGCAATGGGCACCCAGGCTTCAACACATGAGTTTTGGGACATTTAAGATCCAAACCATAGCCGTATTCTTTGTAGATGTCATTGTCACAAGGCTTACATCATAATGGCATCATTATTCTGTTTACTTCTCTGTCTTTCTAAATGCAATTTCTTGAGGACAGGGACTATGCTTTATCTATCTATCTTTTTTTTAAACCTCAGGACCCAGCCCAGTTTTTTGGTCCATCGCAAGTGCTTAATAAATGTTAAATGAATGAAGAAGATGGGAAGAGACCTTTGACACAGTCAACAGACAAGTCAGAGAGTTGTTCTTCTGAAGAACATTTAATTGACTAAGAAGAGTAAAGTGTCTCTATTCTAATCTATTTTTACTTTAGATCCAATTTTGATTTTTCAATAAATGATCCATGGCTGATTATAAAGAATAGGTCAGCAGAGATGGGAGGAGAAGCTGTTGGAGGTAAGAATTAAGCACAGCAGAAATAACACCCGTCCCTCTTAAAGTGAGAAGAAGAGAGGGACATTACAGAGAACACACCTGGGTGTGAAAGAGCAGGATTGCTTGGAGTATCAGAAATACCCAGGCAGCAAAGCATGTTCCTACACAGTCCAACAATTTCCAGGCAAAGGGAATGCCTTATTTCTGAGAAAGTCAATTACATTCTGCATCTTTTTTGAAGAATACAAACTATTGAAACCTATTGGATTTTTCTTGAGCTGCCTGGAAATGACATGGGGCTCTTGATTCATTAAGATGCTACTTGCATTTTAGTGAAAAAAAAAAAAAAATACATCTCTGGTCTGGATGTGGTTCTCCAAGTCCATAACTACACTTGGGTAGGAAGGTCATCTTGCCACTGAACATCAGAAAGATACATAGAAGATGTATTAGGACATTGCTATGCAGTCTCCTCTTTGAAGCCCTGGGGTTCCTTACTTTCTCTTACAGATTGGTGCTTGGGTGTGAGTGGCATGGGAGCTAAGTTCCTTCCACCCACTGTGCTCAGCCTCCTATTTTTGATGCAACAAGTTGGGTGTCGAGTAAAGTTTCTTTGAAGGCCAGTCCTCAATGAAAGCATGCAGGCACAGTGATCCTATGGCAGCGATAGAAGCATCCGGAGGAGGCAGGGATAAGTGCCGCATTTGAAGGAGCTGGAGTCCCATGTCCTGGGCTTCTCCTCTCTGCATCTCTGTTTCACCATTTGTAAGATGGATATAGCAATTGTCTGTCTTACTGGGCTGTTGTGAGCATTAAATTAGTCAAAAGATGCCAGGTGCTTGGAAAAGTACCTAGCATATAATAAATGCTATTTATTATTTAAGAAGCTTCTTGATCAAGCATGCCCTGCAAGGAATGAGGCCAAGCTTTGGAAACTGGAGTTGTTTGGGCTTTGAAGAATAAGTAGGTGTTTACCATGAAGAGAGGGGCAGGACATTTTAGTGAGAAAAGCAAGGGAAATAAGGTAAAGCATCTATGTTCAGGCACCTGGTCAGAAGCCACTACAGGAACTGCACAATACCTGAACAATATGTCCCATGTAGCCAATGTGGCCAGAATTTAAGGACAGAGAGAGGTGGAAGTGACTGGTGCTATGTGTGGACTGTTTGTCTCATCCACCTTTCTCAGGAACCTGGACTACTCCTGGTGACATCTTTGGATGGTTTTAGAATGACACTTTGACAGTGCTATGGAGGGTAAAGAAATGAGCAGGGAAATCAAAGGATGAAGTGTGTGGCTGTTTCAGAGAAAAAACTCAGGGGACAAGGGATGAGGCAAAAGACAGGGAGAGGTTGAAGCTGAATCTGGAGTTAGCTGGCTTGGGCTCCTGGGTGTATGTGCTGCTGTTCATCAAGATAGAAAAGGCAGAGGAGGAGCAGGTTTGGGTGGGGACAGGTGATGAGTTCATTTCTGAGACAGATACAATTTGAGGTGCCCAAAGGAAATGGAGGTGGAGATACCCAGTAGGCAGCTGTCTGGCTGAGAATGGAGCTCAGAAGAAACGGCAGGGCTAGAAATATCAATTTGGAGGTCATCAATTTGTAAATAACAATGAAAACTTTGGGGGTGATTGAGTTCACTTAGGGAACAAGGGAAAAGTGATAGGAGAAGAGGAACAAGGATGGAACCTCGAGAATTGAGAGGCAGGTCCAGGAAGGGGTCGGCTTGGGGGCCAATAAGGGGGCCATGTGAGCAAAGCCTTTGCCCTGAGCAATGAGGCACGGAGCAGCCCTTCCTGGCCTGGCCCGCCCTGATAATTTATCTGGAAAACATTACTGCTCTCAAAGGGCAAAAAGGGATTTATGGTCTTGGAATCAGTGTGTTTGAGAGCTGGAAAGAATCATAGAGCTTTTATGGTTCACTGGTTTTAGAAAAAATGATTTAAAGGAGTCAACTCTTTTTTTTTTTTTTAAATGAAGCCTTGTGCCCAATCCTGACAGATGATCAAGTTTTAAATGTAAAACTCTCATCAGGGAACCTGAGCTGATTGCTTTTCTCAAAATGTCTTGGAGCAGCTCATGTACCCCTCTTTTAATGAGTGTTTATTGGCACCAAACATACGCCAAGCCCTGTGCTCAGCTTGGGACGTACCCAAGGACAGAACACAGCTCTTGCCCCTGGGCTCAATGCTTCTCTATCTTGGCATCATTGTACCATCACCTGAGAAGCTTTAAACTATGCCCAGTGTCCAGGCTGTGGCCATGACCGTGACTTTCGAATCCCTGGCAGCGAGAGCCCAAGAATCAGAGGTGTTAAATCTCTCCAGGGGATGTCAGTGTGCAGCCACGTTGGAGTTAGGCAAGGTGGTGAGGAAAGTCCTGCCGCTCAGCCCAAATGGTAGGGCCTTGAGCCCATCTGCCCTCTCATTTTATCCATGAGGGTCCAGGAATTAGATTGGACCAGAGAGGGGCCGGGCTGGCACTTTTGTCTCTGGATCCTTGGCCAGTGTCTCTCTTCCTTAACCTGGTTGGTCACTTGGTCTTGAAGCTAAGTGAAAAATCCAGTGAATGATCTGCATTGTTCTCCCTTCAC